TACTTGCCCCTCACATTATATCAGAATGGCGAGGACTGCACAAACTCTTGTGTATTCGCAGATGTTTAATGTCAGCCTTGACTTTGACACTCCTAATCACTCAGCCGTTGATCAATCTCACGCCAGTCACTTGGCGCTACTTTAGTGGGACGCTATTGGGTTCCACTGACCCATCTGTGCACTGATGTTTGCAATTCATCCCTGTGCCAAGGGTCAGCAAGAGTATGTCTACACGGCCTGTGGCAGCCCGCCTGGGGCGATAGCCTTGGGCAAGCAGGGCTTGTGCTAGTGCTCTAAAGACAGCTGTGAGACAGTGCTTTGAAATTGCAGCTCGGGCTGGCGCTGGGCTCTGAAGCCTGGGGGAGGGAGGGGGGCGAGCTACACAGCTATATTTTGAGAGTTACTGCAAGCTCCACCAGCCCACGTCTGTCGGCCCAAGTGGGAGACTCAGGCCTGTGGGCTGTGTAGACATAGATCAAAAATGCCGATTCCCCACTCAAATCGCCTTTAAACCTGAAAATAAAGGGTTAACGGGGACTTGAGTGGTGGTGCCTACACCCTGTGCTCCGCCCTTGCAGGATGGAAGCTCCCCTGGGTATTAAAGAGTGTTACACACATAATTTTCTCTCTTCTGATGACGGGCGCACGGATACCTTCTCTGCTGCACGTTGATCAGATCCCTTCAGTATGACCCCGTCTCATAAACACAAAAGGGCCAGTCCCATGACTCCCACTCATTAGCAACTGTATTGCCAAACTGAAAAATTAGTGTCATCGCTCAGCAAACCCGTCATGGGATCTGTGCAAACAAGGCATGTACTTACTTGTTCTCGTAAGGAAGTTCTCTTTTTGTGTAGGATAATTAGTTAATTCTATTTAGCACTAAACGACTTCTGGCACTGTCTGAGCATTATTCTCATCTCAATGTAAACATCCAGCTGAAGGACACTTCTGTAATATCCTGGGACACACAACAACACAGCAAACACCCACTTGTCTCTCACTTCAGTTTATAAACAGATATGGCGCCTGATCCCAATCATACTTCTCCCAGTCTTACGCTGATGTAACCCAAAGGCGCGGTTCCTGGTTTATACGTGTCAATTAGATCAGGACCCTTTGACTTGGGGGCTCTTTTGAGTTCCGTTAAACTGGGCCTCAAGAGTAATTGATGCAAGAGATCAATAGTGAACAAAGAAAAGATAAGGCAGCTGTTGTTTTGAATCTGATGATTTACACAGATTGCAAGTTTTCTGGGGGTGGCAGCTGTCTTTTTGTGTGTCTGTACAGCGCCTAGCACAGCGGGGGTCCTGACCCATGAGTGGGGCTCCTAGGTGCTATGGTAATATAATTAATTAAGCTTGATAATGTCTTAGACCAGATCTCCTGCTACGTCAGGTAGGGCCGCCCAGAGGGGGGCGGGCAAGTGGGGCAATTTGCCCCGGGCCCCGCAGGGACCCCCACGAGAATTTTCAGGGGCCCCCACGAGATTTTTCGATGGGTCTTCAGTGGCAGGTCCTTCAGTGCCGCCGAACACACCCGGAGCAAAGACCCGGAGCTTCTTTCGCTCCGGGTCTTCAGCGGCAGTTGGGCGGCGAGGGCTCCTTCCGCTCCGGGTCTTCGGCGGCAGTTCGGCGACAGGTCCTTCACTTGCTATGGGACCCGCCGCCGAAGTGCCCCAAAGACCCGGAGCGGAAGGAGCCGTCGTTGCCAAAGACCCCAGGCCCCCTGAATCCTCTGGGCGGCCCTGACGTCAAGCAAGTTCTGCCCTGCTCCCGTGGCACAAAGCTTCCATACCGGTCCTGGATGATCTCCTCTGCACAGTGCGATCCTCAGCTGGCATAGAGTCTACACCAGCTCCCTCTCTGCAGCAGGCTGAGTGGTTGTGACTAGAGAAAAGGGGTGTGGCTGGGTCAACCTTGCGCTCTGGTGGCACCCAGCTGCTGTACCTGGCTGTGTCTACACAGCAGCAGTGCGGTGTGGCTCCCAGCTCAGGCAGACATACACAGGACACTGGCTGCGTGAACACAGTCCTGCCCACCCCCATGGATAGGCAGTCGGGCGGCCAGCCCAAATCGCTGCAGCACCGACGACCCCGGTCTTCGGCAGGCGGGATCAAACCTGGGATCTCAGGAGCTAAATGCATGAGCCTCTATTGCATGAGCCAAAAGCCACATGGCTCTTAGCTGAGGCTGTAGCAGACTCATTAATCTCTAAGTGGGCTCGGTGCCACTAGAGAGGACAGAGCCCCACTCCCAGGAGGTGTGTGGGTTACACAGCCCCTCGGTTTGTGTTGAGTGCTGGCTTGAGCAAAAAGGGGAGGTATCCTGGGAATGACACCTCCCCATTGCGATGCAGACGTACCCCTGGTCATAGCTCTCTGGTGCAACTTAGAGCACCTCCCAGCCTTGCTTGGAGAGGGGACCGGCACTGTGTAGAGAGCCCCAGGAACTGGGGCGCACAAAGGGGGTTTAAGGCCACCTTTGCCCCCTTCCCTCTTGAGTCACACTGGGTGCTTCTCGCTCACACCGCAGGATCTGGCCCTTCATTTCCAAACACATCCTGAGGCAAGGAAGAGCCAGTGCCACACAACCCTACATAACAGCCCATCGCGACAACCCCACATACAGGTTGC